AAAAAAAAAAAAAATCTTAAGACCTGATAGCTTTTTAAGTACAGTTTGATTTATGAAGTTTCACGTCGAGTTACCACAATTTCATGGTTGAGCTCAACTCTTCATGGTAATAGTTGCTGAAGTATTCATTATGAGCTCAAAATGTCTTTTTTTTTCCTTTTTTCTTTTTTCTGTGTATAATTTTGTTAAACACATCTCTCAGTAATGTTTCAATGCTTGAGGACTTAATATATTGTATTCACTTCTTCCTTTCTGAAGTAACATTATTTTGATTATAGCTGCAGGGCAACAATATCCAGCTAATCAAAATATTGGTGTTCAAAATCACATGTTTCCCTAGAGAATACCACTTCAACTGGCTGGTTCACTCCATCCAACAGCTCTATCCCATCAAGCTGTATCTGCCATATTTTTAACGGCATCTGACTCTTTTTGGCAAGATGGTAATCTAAATCTTGCCAAGTCAATTTTTCTTTGCCCCAAACTAAAGTATGATAAAGTAACTATCTATACTACGTTTTTTTGGTGGTCATTGATTCCTTTCTGAAATAACATTATTTTGATTTTAGCTGCAGGGCAACAAGTTCCAGCTAATCAAAATTCTGGTGTTTATGGTTACATTTTTCCCCAGGGAATACCATTTCAATTGGCTGGTAAGGCATTCACTCCATTCTTACAGCTCTATCCTATCCAGCTGTATCTGCCATATTGAAACAGCATCTGACTCTTACTTGCAAGACAGCAATTTGGATATCTTGCCTAGTGGATTTTTCATTGGTCCACTTGTTTAAAGTATGATATGGTAAATAGCTATTCTACATCTTTATATTTGGATAAGTCATTCAGTCTCTCTTGGAAAAGCATTGTTGCTGCACACTGAATAGAAATTTTCAGTTGCAGTGATATGTTCAATTCTCCTATCTCTAATACGTATTAGAATTTTGGAGAAAATATTAACTTTTATTACCCTCTTTAATTTGTAAAACCCATTGTTGTTTGTTGTAGATAATCATGCAAAATCTTACAGATATTGCATGATTAAGTGAATAAATCTATAATAGGATATTAGGATTGTAATCAATACATAATAGGAACAAATCTGTAAAATAGGAAGTTAGATTTTTTATTTCCTAGATTAGTTCTTTATTTTACTATATATTGATGTATAATTTGTCAATGTAATATAAGAGAAAATTACAATCAGTTCTCTGTTTGTAACATTGTTATTCCAAGAATTACTTTACAGGAAACAAATTGTAATCTCTCATCAAGAGAATATAGAATAATCAGCTCAAACTTGTAGATGTGGCAATTAGAACATCAAAATTTCATGGAAATTATAGTTTTCATTGAAACTCTGGTTCAACCATCTAGTAGGGGGAGTGCTTGCTTGCTGAATTAAATGGTCATGAACTTTTTCTGCATAGTTTTACGTTGTGTTATTCATGGTTTGTTCTGTCATACAAGGTTCATACCATAATATGTCTTTTTTTTTTTGCAGGATAGGTTTGAATAGACACCTGACCTCAGTTGAGATAGTAGAGCAAGCTGTATTTACACGGTGCCTGCTCTCAAGTGAAGTTGGTTCAATTTCAAGTGTTGTGTTTATGGTAAGTGCACATGTGTTTTATAAGGCTACGTAAGTGCACATATGGAAACAACCTTTCAATTTAGTAAGGTTTTTTCAATAGAGTGATATTTTGTTCCAGGACCTGCGTTGTACTGTCAGTTATGCTATTAATATTCTCAATACGGTTTCACGAGGTTCTTTTTCTTCTTTTTATATCAGAAACAAAAAGTTTTGTATTATTTTTCGTGTACAAATGTCCAAACTTTGATTGGTAATACCCTGTATATATTGAATTGTATAGAAACAATAATCTATTTTAGCCCCAATGTTTCGTAAAGGACCCTTTACCTTCTCTGATGTGGTGATTTTCTCCTCAAACTGTTGTGAAGGGAACACAATCAATTTTGTATTTATGACATAGATATAGTTTGCAATGATCAAAGGAGTTATTATTCTTTTGGCATGGTTTTCTAAAAGGAGTTTATGTGTATCTTTTTACTAGATGTCCGGTAACTTTTTCTCTTGTGTGTTGGTTTGTTCAAACATGAACTTTGTTAATCCTTTTGGAGGACTGCAAGTACTCACACAGACAGGCACACCACTTATGTACACACAGATATAAGAAACATATATTAGTAGTTCAATAGACATTTCATTTTTTTTTTTTCCCAATACCTTTTGTCTCAACTTCTTAGCTTTTTTGTAATCATTAAATGCTATCGAGCAATTTCATCTTCTCTCTTGCTAAACACGGAGCTTCTAGATTATCTGGTCTATCCTAGTTATTGTCATAACAATACTTATGTAGGGAATGGGAGAGCCACTTCACAAAGTTGGAAATGTCATAAAAGCTTCCGACATTTACGGTGCATGAGCAAGGCCTCCACTTCAGTCCTCGCAAGGTCACTGTTTCTACTAGTGGGCTTGTCTCCCAATTGAAACGATTTCTCCATGAGTCCAATTGTGCTTTAGCTGTTAGTTTCAATGCTACAACTGGTGAGGTTTTATATTTCCAGCTTTATTTTGATGGAACAAAGAAATAATGCGCCTCGATTGGTAGAGAGAGAGGATTGACCTCCTTTTGATGAATTATGCAGGTCAGAAACTGGATCATGTCAATTAATTGGAATTATAAACTAGGGTTACTTCTTGAGACCCTTAGAGAGGAACTTCGTTTCAAACATAATTACACAGTTCTGTTTGAATATGTTATGCTTGCAGGAATCAACGACAGGTTAGATAAACCTTTTTTTATCTATACATTGATAGTGGAAACAACAGTCATGTTGCCATCCTGAATTTTGCTAGTTTATGTTTGTGATCCCATAATTAGTGCAAAACTATTATAATGTCAGGTTTGTCTGCCAGGGTCAAGTTATTTAGCTCATCATTGATTTATCGGAGGGGGGCTTTTGCAATAGAAATGCTTAATGCTTGTATGATTGTCTTATCAGACAAATGTGTATAACTCCTTAGGAGTGTTGACTTTCACCATTTACAGGTCAAGTAAGACTGGATGTAAGGGGTAGGGGAACTGCTCAATCTTCCAACAATCCTACTGGACCATCTCAATGGAGATATCCAGCCCTAGTCTCTCCAGTTTTTTGCCCCTCTTTTACTACTAATCCCTATCTAGTCGCTCATCCAGTTCAGAATACAACAAAACCAGACTGATTCTTCTATTTCAGAATCAATTCAAGCCGCTGCCCCTCCCGCACCACTGGTCCAGACAGTTCCTTTCCCACCCAAAACACAGATTTTCTGTCCCTTATCCCAGACTGCTGCGGCTTGGACTGTTCATCCTCTTTCACCCTTGGCCAAGGAATTTATACCTTGTCATGTGGTGCAAGGTATGTCTTCTTCTTCGAATCTATTTTAAAAAGGTCCTTTCCCTGCATAAAGTTTTAAGTCATGGTACCCTGTGAGAAAATGTATTCCTGATTAATATTTTACTCGACCTCTTCTGGCCTTTTTAGTGATTGCTGTGCTATTTTCAATCCATTATGGAACACTATAATAAACATGAATAAATCGATTGAATTGGACTATTACCAATTATAATGATTTTAATCCAGGTTGAATCAGGGCTCTAAATCTGCGCAAGTCATCCATTTTCTTATAGGTATATTTGTAATATTTTTTGCTGGATGCTTGTAGGTAACTTTGGTCAATCTCAAACCATTGCTCCTATTCAGCCTGCCAGTAGACTGACTTCATCTGCTTATACCTTTGGTAATTAACATTTATCTCCATGATCACCTATAAATTTAATTCAAAATTACTGTTTGTAATCATGATTTTTAAGTTTTACAATCATAGGTCCAGTAATTCCAATTGGTTGACTTGCTCAGGCTTCCAATGCTTCAGTTCGACCATCTTCTAATAGATCTACAAACCAAGCCCGTCAATTTCGACCATCTTCCAATAGATCCGCATACAAAACCCATCCAGTTCGGCCATCTTCTAATAGATCTACATACAAAACCCGTCCAATTCGACCATCTCATACACCACAGTCCCAGACTGATTTGTCAGACCTGCATGCTCTTGCACAAGCAACTAAGGATTTTCCAACCGATCACATAGATCTATTTTTGCTGTTGACTTCCCTGAACTTTGTAAGTTTGCTTCCTTCCATATACAACATTTCTTCAATTTTAAGCAATGATACCCTTCTAATATACCCATATTTTATAGTGGCTGGCTATTTCTATTTCACACTGAAAAATTATAATCGACTTGCACAAATAGGTTGGATGAGAATGGGATCAGGTGTTGATCATGACTTCAATCTGGGGCAAGTAAGGTCCCTTAGATTATTTGTTGATGTTATTTTGTCTAAAGATTGTTCACCACTGTCCATTATTGAGAACTCTCATGGCAGCAAAAGGATCTGTTTTGGCTTATGTACCTTGGTTTATCCATCTCCAAGCTAAGCTAAACATCAAAATGCTTATTTAAGTTTGCCATGGCCAAATTTCCCATGCATGTAGATTTTGGAAATAGACGGTAAACCCTTTATTGTTGCAGAAAATCCAGCTAAACCTCATACATCAGTGTGCCTCTAATGTTGGTAATGTTAAGGATGATATGAATGCTTGTCATTACAATAGCAATGACTAATTACACTTCTCTATGCAGATTTGGACAAACCTCCTCAACCAAGTGGAAGAGGGTGTTTCTTTTGCAAGAGGGATCTTTCATTCACACCAGAAGCCGATGGCCCCATTTCCCAGCCAAGTATTCCTCCATCTGTTGTAGTTTTGCCATGCGGCCACTACTTCCACAGTCGCTGCCTAGAGATTGTCACTCCTCCAGAGAAGTCTACAGATCCTCCATGCATTCTTTGTGACCTTGATGAGAATGCATCCAGAAGACCAATCTTTTCCCAGGTTTTCTCTGTTCCATTTTCTATCTCTAATCTCAGTGGCATCAGTCAGAATATAGGAGGGCTTGAAGTAGATAAGAATTGAATATCACTGTACATAGCAAGTCATTATGATTCATATGATGAATAGGCTTCAACGCAATTAGAAAATTAGCAAGTGTACTTAATAGTTTACACATTTTGAAGTGGGATTTAGCCATTTCATTCGAATTCAGAAATTTATATCAAATTTCTTCACCTTGTATTGGCTTACACAGATTTAAACGCGTTTATAATGTTTGAGTTTTCTTAAATATTTCAATGTGTTTTGGGTGAAGGACGTTTGCTCAAAACCTAATCGTAAATCTATAAGAGTTTGGACTTGAAACGAATAATATTTATATACTATGTTGGGATCGATATGTTAGAATCAGAATCATACACAATTTTTAAGGAAGGTTTTCTTATGACTTTATAGAAGAACTGTTGCTTTCTATATTTATATAGTTTATAGATATTTAGATTTAAATACTCTAATATGTTGTTAAACTGCCGAAGTTGCAGCTATTACTAATATTTGGTTGAAAAGTTTGTTACCAAAATTTATTTCTAAAAATCAAGTAGATGAAAGAGTCATAATAAGTTAAATTGATTTAATAACATGATAAAGGTAATGTGGAGTTAATAATTTGTATTTGACTTAAGGTTCTTGAGTTAGTTAATTAACATAAATGATATTATTATTTTGAATCAATATCAACCTTAAATCATACAATCTAACAACATTTATTTCTTATTAATATAATGATATTATAATTTAGACTTAAGCTTAAAAATTTAGGAATATTTTTTTTATTATACTATTGGGAGTCAAGCTTATAGATATTAGACTCTAAATATATATATATTTTAAATTGACCCATTAAGGATAAAATGACAAATTTATCAATCATGTCATTAGTTTTCTACAATAAGGTGTATATATATAAACGATTTGCACATAAGGATATGTTTCGTGGACTCTGCCTACATAATACAAATAAAACCAGACAAAAATAATTAAATAATTGAAATAATAAAGAAAGATAAAGTAAAGTTGTTATAGAAAATAGTCATGTAGAAGGAAGTGCATTGGATACTAATTGAAAATACATAACGGATCAAGGAATTAACATGAGAAGAGACAATTAGATTCAGTCGACTGGATACTTTTGAAGCGCGTTTTGTTACATTTTATGACTTCAACATGTATGTCCAATCCTTAGATGATCAAGCACCAAAAAGTAACCGTCTCCTGGTCTCTGATATCCTTTCTATACAAGAATATGATCATCACTTCCCAGATATAGAAGGCGTTAATAAATTTGTAACGTTATATACGGTTGGTGAAGAAGAAGATTTGGCTGTTCTCCCAATAGACATTCAGTGTCTAATGGTAAGTGTGACGCCAAGAAAGTATTCAGATCTTAAATTTCTCTAGTTGAGGGATTGTTGGTATTTAAAGAAGTTGGTGTCACCAAAGTTGTTGCCGGCTCTACAAAACCTGCAAGTGATTGAAGTTTACGGCTGTGGTCAAATGGAGGAGATAATAGCATTAGATGATGATGATGAAGAAAACAAAGAAGAAAAAAGAATGAAGGAACCAGTGGTGCCACCATATTCGCTCTTCCTAAATTGAGAAAACCGGGTCTGATATACCTTCGAAATTTGAAGAGGATTTATAGTGGAAATGGAGTAATGGTTTGTGATTCTCTCAAACAAATTCATTTATTAGGATGTGGAGAATTGAAGAGGTTCCCTTCGTCTCTTCCCTTGCCTGCAATTAAAGAAATCCAGGTAGACAAAGACTGGTTGGCAGTGGCGAATCTAGGATTTTAGGCTGGGGAGGGGTTCCGCGGCTACTTATTATTTTTCAAATAACTAGTGAAAACTTTAAAAAAATATCAAACCGTAAACAAAAGGGGAAAAAAATATATATAATTATATATATATACTAAGAATCTAGAGAAAATAATAAAATAACATAATATTTTTCTATTTGAATAAATCTACGAGAAGCAAAATTTTGAGTAAACCTTGAGCAAAACTTTCTTTTATTTTATTTTTTAATTTTTGGCATACAAAGATTATAATATAAAATTTTCATGACTTTAATCAGACTTAGCCTAAGTTAAAGTCACTCAAAACTTAAATTAAGTCAACGTTACATTGATTTTTACTATGAATTAATAAAAAAAAAGGGGAATTTTCTTGATATAAACATAGATAGTAATTCAAATTTCTTTAATAATTTTAAGCAGTTGAACTGTGACATTTGAAATATAGGAAAGTGGTGGGTAAAGGGTGAAGAACAGCGTCCTTAAGGTTTTAATTTGGAAAAATAGGGTCATTGTTAGCAAAACACAAAATAAACTTATAAGATTCATATCTTTTTCCCTCAAATTAGAATAAAAAACCTACAAAAAAAAGGAGCATGATTCAACCTAAAATAAACTAAATTGAAATGAGTAATACACATACCTAAAATTAATAAAACAGAGAACGAAGCTAATTGTGACATCTTGAGTAGTGAAAGCTTCAACAATTTCATTCGTCAAAAGTTTTAAGAGCGAATATCATGAGAAAGAGAAATATAGAATGAGAGAGTAAAAAATTTTGAGAATAAAATCACAAAAAGTATGTGAAGTTATGGAAAAAAAAAAAAGTGAATAAAGTTTTAAACTTTTAATATGATGTGAGTTTAAAATATATATATTAATAATAAGTTTTTTATAGGTTGGATATATGTATGATAGTTCTCATTTATTTTTTAAATTTATAATGGGTTTGGATATATATGTTAATAACAATTTATTGTGGGCCTGTATATTAATAATTTTTTTTTTTTTAAATATGAGGCCTACCCTCGAAGGACCGGATCCGCCCCTGCTGGTGGGAATTAATTGCAGTGGGACAATCTCAATGCAAAAGCTGCACTACAACGGTACAAACCTTTTGGAAGTTTATTGATTAATTTGACGTCCAATTGAGCTGTCTTATTTTATTCTGTTTTACCACGTTGTAGAAGAATTCATCTGCTCTCAAAGTTGGAAATTTTTAACTAATTACATGAGATGAGACTCTACCTATAAATAATAATGTTATGGACACCGGGATTCTACATCGAAATCTTACACCGACTTACATGGCCCATAACTCACAGCAGACATGTTTCATGTTGAAATTTTTTTTTTTCTAGTGAACGGTCGTTCATCAACTATGGACGGTCGTTCACTTACATAGACTCTCGTCCATATTTTATGGATGTGCATCCCCATTTAAAGGACGCACATTCATCAGTAAATGAAACAAAAAATATAAACAAAATTAAGGGACGACCGTCCATAATTTGGGGACTTTCATGAATGTTATTGTAGCTCAATGTGGATTCTTTCATGAATGAACAGAGCAATTTAGTATAAATTATTTTGGTTTTGGATGTATGGATAGGTTGTTTTGATAATGTGGGTTTGGTGATGAATCAACACAGGCAAATGTCCATAGAGGAAAGAGATGGCAAGGCCCGCGAGTCCGGAGTCATGTTTATAGAAACAAGTGCAAAAGCAGGATTCAATATCAAGGTAAATAATAATGGACAAATTGCATTTCTTTTTCATTCCAGAACTGCTGTCATTTGGGTCTGTTTATCACTCTAATCTTGATGGTTTAATGTAATATTACAGCCTCTATTTCGCAAGATAGCGGCTGCATTGCCAGGAATGGAGACACTTTCTTCCACAAAACAAGAAGACATGGTGGATGTCAACCTAAAGCCGACTGTGAGTTCATCTCAGATAGATCAGAAACGAGGGGGTTGTGCTTGTTAAACAAAATGTAGAAAATAATATAGAAAGAAGCTACAAGTTTGAACCATTCAATACCCTAGAGAGAATTCAGCTAACTTGCCACAACTTTTTGTTCAATATACTTTCAAGTTTTTGAGTATTTTAAGTTGCTGAAGGAATTATCCTTCTGTTCCAGAATACTAAAACAGACAGTTCTGATTTTTATTTTTTATTTTTCCCTTTTTTTTTTATTTTTTTGGGGTTCTTTTGAGGAACATCTTTGAATTGTTTGTAACTGAGAAGAGATTGATTCATTTTTAGGCATGTTGAAAGCTTTAAATGAAACAGGCTTTTGCAGAATAATGAATTGTATCCAATTGCAGTATCATATTTATTACAAGTTCTCGTTGAATGTTAAAATTAAAAACCTAGGTCTTTACTCGGGCGTCCAAATTTTTTTTTTTATTTTTTATGTTTACATTATGGACGAACGTCCCTTATTTTCGGGTGTCTGTTCAAAATTAAGGGACGACCGTCCATAACTGATGAACGGGCGTCCCTTAATTTTTTTTAATTTTTTAAAACCATTGTTAATGGGCAGGCGTCCATTACCATATGAACGCCCGTCCATTAATTTTGTTTATAAAAATTTTATTATTTAAATATTGGACGGACGTCCATTATATGTGGACGCCGGTCCCCAAGTTATGGACGATCGTCCCTTAATTTTGTTTATATTTTTTATTCCATTTACAGATGAACAGACTTCCTTTAAATGGAGGTGCCTGTCCATGTAAGTGAATGACCGTCCATAGTTGATGAATGACCGTTCACTAGAAAAAAAAATTTGAACGTGAAACGTATTTGCTGTAAGTCACGGGCCACATAAGTTAGTGTAAGATTTCAGTGTAGAATCCCGGTGTCCGTAGCATTATTGACAGTTTAATGATCAATTTTTATACAATGAGTAGGTACGTTAGTATTGACCGCGTTTATTTGTTTGAAGATCAAAATAATCTTCAAATTAATAAATTTTCTAGAGATTTAGGATGAATCTGTTTGGTTTGAGATAAAGTGTGGGAAAATTGAGAAAATTATATTTTTATTTCCTTTTGCCAGAAAAAGTTGTTTTTGATTCCTTGCTTCATCTCTATTCTTGGCTATATTCCATTTCTTTTGTCATTATTCTGCTCTTTGATTTCCCTTCTTTTCACACAGAATAATATCATTCTTTAAACTAGAAGGGATTGACATTTTAACCTCAAGATTTTTTATATTAAATATTAGTGTTGAACCCATATCTTACATTTTTTTTTTTTTTTTTTTTGGGTATTTAGGATGTTCGGTCCAGTTGTGCGCACCTCAACTAATCCGCAA